ATACACCATAGAAAAAACAAGAAAAACAGTACAGACGTGGAAGGTACATTTACCATTGCAACAAAAAAATTAAGATACCTGGGAAAAAATTCAACCAAGGAGGCAAAGGACCAGAAAATTACAGGATGCTGAAAAAAGAGATAGAGGAAGACATAAACAAATGGAAGAATATGCCATGTTCATGGATTGGTAGAATCAACAACAATTAAAATGTCCATACTACCCAGAGCAATCTATATATTCAGTGCAATCCCCATTAAAATACCAATGGCATACCTCAAAGACCTAGAACAAACTCTCCAAAAATTCATCTGGAATATAAAAAGACCCCAAGTAGCTGCAGCAATCTTGAGAAAAAAGGAACAAATTTGGAGGGATCACAATACCAGACATCAAGTTTTACTACAAAGCCACTGTTCTCAAAACTGCCTGGTACTGGCACAAGAACAGACATATAGACCAATGGAACAGAACAGAGAACCCAGAGATCGACCCAAGCCATTATGCTCAATTAATATTTGACAAAGGAGGCAAGAGCATACAGTGAAGTCAAGACAGTCTCTTCAATAAATGGTGTTGGGAAAATTGGACAGATAACATGCAAAAAAATGAAACTAGACCACCAAATTACACCATACACAAAAATAAACTCAAAATGGATAAAGGACTTAAACGTAAGATGGAAAAACCATAAAAATCCTAGAAGAAGCCATAGGCAGCAAAATAGCAGACATTTGTTGTAGCAATATCTTTACCGATACATCTCCCAGGACAATGGAAACTAAGGAGAAAATAAACAAATGGGACAACATCAAAATAAAAAGCTTCTGCACAGCAAAAGAAACCATCAACAAAACAAGAGAGCCCACTACATGGGAGAACATATTTGCCAATGTTATCTCTGATAAGGGTTTAATCTCCAAAATGTATAGGGAACTCATACAACTTAACAAAAAGAAGATAAACAATCCAATCAAAAAATGGGCAAAAAAACCTAATTAGACACTTTTCAAAAGAAGACATACAGAAGGCCATGAGACATATGAAAACATGCTCAAAGTCACTTATCATCCGAGAGATGCAAATCAAAAAAATGAGGTAACGTCTCACACCTGTCAGAATGGCTATCATCAACAAATTAACAAAAGACAAGTGCTGGCAAGGATGCGGTGAAAAAAGAACCCTCTTGCACTGCTGGTGGGAATGCAGACTGGTGCAGCCACTGTGGAAAACAGTATGACGCATCCTCAAAAAAGTAAAAATGGAACTTCCCTTTGACCTAGTAATCCCACTTCTAGGAATATTATCCCAAGAAATCAGACACATCAGAAAGAATATATGCACCCCTATGTTCATAGCAGCACAATTTACAATAGCTAAGATTTGGAAACAGCCTAAGTGCCCATCAGCAGATGAGTGGATTAGAAAACTGTGGTACATCTACACAATGGAATACTATGCTGTAGTAAAAAAAGAAGGAATTCTTACCATTTGCTACAGAATGGCTGGACCTGGAGAGCATTATGCTAAGCGTAATAAGCCAGTCAGAGAAAGATAAATATCACATGATCTCACTCATTTGTGGAATATAATGAACAACATAAACTGATAAACAAAAATAGAACCAGAGTCACAGAAGCATCGAACAGACTGTTCAACTTATGAGAGAAGGCAGGGGTGAGGGGATAAGAGATCAACCAAAGGACTTGTATGCATGCATATGAGCATAACCAATGGACACAGACAGGGATGGGGGGGGTGACGGCATATGCTGGGGGGGGGTGGGGGCGGCCAGGGGTGGTCAATGGGGGAAAAAGAAGACTTATGTAATCGTTTAAACAATAAAGAATTTAAATTTTAAAAAGACATGGAAGGTAATACAATTAACAAACTTGACTTAATTGACTTGAGAAAATTAAAGCAACCATTAGCAAAATTCACAAAATTTTCAATAGTACATAGAACATTTATGAAAATAATCAATGTCAGAGCGAGAGGTTCAACAGAATTCAAAAACAAACAAACACTTCAGAATAAGTTTTCTGACCACAATAAACGTAAGCTAAAAATCAATAAAAAAGGTAACTAGAAAAATTCCAACTCCTTGGAAATTAAACACCACCAAAAAATTGCTAATTAATTTATAAGTCAAAGAAAAAAATCAAAACTTGTAGTATGAAGCT